TCTTCCATGAGGATGTTCGTAGACGCCTTCAGTAAGCAGGTGTTTGACAGTAAAGAGAGCTTGTCGACTGCGGCGGAGTGCGTCAAGGTAAGAGGGTCCGAGGAGGGTGGTGTGACGTGATGGCCACAACGAAGGCTGCGGAGCTTGTAAATCCTCTTTTCTAACCCCAGGCTAGTCGTTGGCTCTTGAGCAGGTCTCTGGAGAGGTTTCCTGCGTTGACAGGGTAATATGAATCTGGGGCTGGTTTGGTTTCTTCCAGTGTCATAGAGGAAAGCATGAAGATGAAAATAGGCAGCAAGGAAAACCCCGCCTTTCATCAGAAATGCAAAATGTGTTTATTCTTAATTTGCCTTTAAGCAGTAGGAGCCCCTAAAATTTACAGAAGCTGCGTCTGAATGCTGAGCATTTGAAGACTTTTTGTTTGTTTTCCAAGCCTGTCCTGGACTACGTTTCCGTAATTTTTTGCAAGACTAACTTTCTCAGGTTATGGTCTGCTAATGGGGGGGAAAGTGTGTTGGGGGGGTTATGATGTAATTTTCCAGAACATTTTTGACAGGGTTTATCTTTCAGTTATTAATTTCTCATTGCTGAGGAATCTCTTAAAGCAGGAGAGAGAAGTGAAGCATGACTAACGCTTCCCCGTTTTCTGAGAATGAGGGATTTGGTGAATGTGCAAGGTGTAAGGGGGGGCCTGCACGCTAGTAACACCCTTCACTCTTTGTTCACACACAGGTAGCTAAAGAGCACTGCAAGCAGCTGAGCGAGATTGGACTGGATCTCACCTTCATCATTCATGCCCTTCTGGTGAAGGATATCAAAGGTGCTTTGCAGAGCTACAAGGATATCATCATCGAGGCCACCAAGCACCGCAACTCCGAGGAGATGTGGAGAAGGATGAACCTGATGACTCCAGAGGCGCTGGGGAAGCTCCGGGAGGAGATGAGGAGCTGCGGGGTGGGCAATTTTGACCAATACACAGGTGATGACTGCTGGGTCAACCTTAGCTATACGGTAGTGGCTTTCACTAAGCAGACTATGGCCTTCTTGGAGGAAGCGTTAAAGCTTTACTTCCCAGAGCTGCATATGGTGCTTTTGGAGAGTCTGGTGGAAATCATCCTGGTGGCCGTCCAGCATGTTGATTACAGTTTACGGTGCGAGCAGGACCCTGAGAAGAAAGCGTTCATTAGGCAGAATGCATCCTTCCTGTATGAAACTGTCCTTCCTGTTGTGGAAAAAAGATTTGAGGAAGGAGTTGGAAAGCCGGCCAAGCAGCTGCAGGATCTGAGAAATGCTTCACGCTTGATGCGTGTAAATCCGGAAAGTACCACCTCTGTGGTGTGAAGTGGCCTCACTGTTCTTACGAGCAGGGTGTGAGAGCGCTTGCTGGAAGTGTTGTACAATGAATAGATGAACTAAATGGGGTTTTTTTTCAGTTTTAAAAATGCAGAAGTCTAGCTGCTGCGTTCCAGAAGGTGAAGACTTACAATCAAAGCCTGCAAGGATGCAATGCTTTTCCTGGTGGATGGGGTGTAGGAGAGCGAGAAGTAATGTCGAGGTCGCGTGTCCTTGGACAGCAGATCCTGTGAGAATGGCTTGGGTAGTGTTTATGACTTGGGGAAATATTGTGTCGTACAATTTTGGGCCAAATGTTTGTGAAAGTCTTAAACAGATGTACGTTGTATGGCAGGAAAAGATAACTTCTCATCATGTCACTGTAGGAATTCTTTTTTCAGGCAGCGTTCTGGTAGGAGGGGAGATGCTGGGATGCTCCTGGTGTGTGGGACTTGGTGGGGCATATCCACCATCCAGGTGTGACTCAGCACTGCAGGTAAACAGCGTGGGTTTGCCCGGTCTGATTTGTTTGGTAGGGGTGCAGGCCCTTCAGTTTCTCCAGCATTCAAATTCTCTTCGTTCATTTGAGAGGCAGATCTAAATGAAAAATGGGTTTTGGTATAAGTTGTTGTGTTTGGGTGAAGGGGCTGCTTCTATTTAATAAGCTGTCCTGTGGGCTTAAACTACAGCTCTCTGGAAACAAACCTTCTGCTGTCAGAAACATTTCTTCCCTTCAGAGAAGAAGTGAGAATAATTTTCTTCCCTTCCCTGTTGTGTTCCCCTGCTTGTTTTGCCATGGACTTCACTGAGGCCGAGTCCGTTTGATGAAGCGTGCGCTCTGGCTTGAGGTGCTGCTGTAAATGTGTAAAGGCCATTACCTGCTGGTAGCGACCGCAGCGAAGAGGCATCGGTGCTCTTGAGATGTGCGGGGCGGGGAGAGGGTCTGCAGGTACGGTTTCGTCTGGAAGCAGCAGGATGCTGGTTTTGCTGTGCAGAAGCAGCACAGGATGAAGAGACTGGGTGTGAGGCTTTCTGTAAATGATGCAATCTTCAAAATACATACTCTGTCTCCTGCAAATATGAGTATCATTTCCTGTGATGCAGCAGTAACCAAGAAGAACTGTCTTTTTTGCAGAAAACGCAAAGGCTGTGCTTGGTTGGGAGCTCTAATGTAGCTGGGGGAAGTTTATGCAAATGCTTGTATGTTTGGGTTGAATGGTGGTGGCTAGCTCATTCAGCGTGTGTCTCTGAAAAAAAAAAAAGCAAGCCTGGCATAAAGGCTGGCTGTAAAATGCTGGCAGAATTGTGTTCTAAGCTGTGTGAAGTTCTTCCCCTTTAGTGCAGACTTTCTTAGTTGTGAGCAAATCATGTTACAGGTAAGTAATCTTGTTATTAGACTCTGAAGGAGTGTTCTTAACTGGAGTAATTGAGTATCCTGTTCCTCTTGCGCTTTCATTTGCAAGCTTTTGCGATGTGTATCACGGTGATGAATGCCTCGTGACTGCCCGAATGAGGGAAAGGTGTCGCTAGTAAAAGATTCTGCAGAACTGCTTATGCTGGAGCGTCTTCGTGTCTCCCTGTCCTCACAGCGCTCCTTCACCGCAGTTTTCACTGCAGCGGTGCTCGTTTTCATTCTCTTCCTTGGAACTGTCACATATTGCAGAACATCCTACTGTCTCTGCTCATTTGCTTTCCAGTGTTTGGGCCTTTTGCTAGCAAATCACAGAAAAACCCCGTACAAAACAGTTTTGAAGGGTTAATTCACTGCTCTTAGCTAAATCTGATTGAAAACCACTGAAATAGCTATAGTTTTATTTTAAGGTGCAGGGACAGTGAGAGTTAGAACTTGTGTGAACACGTTACGTCCAAGAGAGCTACACAGGTGTTATTTCACTCGTAAACTATTTCTGATAGCAGAACCTAGTGAAGTATATCAAAGTAATACACTCTCTGTCGTCTGTTTGAAGCGAGCAAAGGTAGCAACCTTAATCTGGGAAATACTTGCAAGTCGATTGTAAGTGAGAGCTCTGCACAATGACGGGTATTTTGGAGGAGAGGGACAAGGGAGGGCTTTTTTTCTCTGAAGACAGGTGTATTTTGTTGTTTTCTTAAGGAATAAATACAGATGAGCCTTAATGTAATTTTTTTTTTTCCCTGTGGAAGAGAAGGGTGAGCTGTGGAACTGCAGCTCAAGGCTCTGATTGTTGTGATGCTTGAGGATTGTGTGTAAGAAGCTGAATCATAATTTCCCAATTCCCAGCTCTGGCGTAAGATTGAATAGGAGGAGAGCCCTATTCATGCTTGTATTGCAAGCCGGTGTAGCACATCTTATCCTCGTCAGAGGATGAAATGTAGAATGTGATTCTGCCACGTGCTCCGTTACGCCTCTGTCACCGCTCCCTTCATCAGTCTGTCCACGGCACGCAGGGGCTACTGAATTTGTCTCTGCCGTCACTCGTGGAGCAGTGACCTCACGGGGGTGCTGGGTTTCATGGGTCAGGGAATCTGGCCGTTCTTCTGGGAGAGCAAATACCATGTTCGTGTGCCTGTCACAGTTCAACCACAGGTGTGGGTTTGTGTAAACTGCTGGAGGTAGCATGGATATTTTGTAACTTGCGAATCTATTCAAGTCATAATCAAAGAAAAACAATAACTGAAGGAAAATGGTGCGCAATTAAATGGAACGTGCTTTGTGTGTCAGTTCAGTTAACAGAAGAAGCCGACATATGCTGAGTCTTGGTTTAATAAATTTCAGCTTTGCAGGCGGTAGTTTGGAATGGCACTTTTCCTGAGCTGTACATTTGTGGGGATAGTGTTCCTCAAGTTGGAATTTGCGGTAACTACTGAATAACATGATGGCAGTTTTGTTGATTTGGGGAAGAGCTAGTAGTATTTTCTTTGTTTTGAGACAATTGCGTACAAAATCTGGTTTCCTTTAGCTGCTGTGACAAAATTGTGATGTGTAAAATTAAGATTTTTTTTTTTTTTTTAAATTCAGATGAATGTATGTATTAGAATTTAATGCAATAACTTTTCTGAACAGTCCTTTAGCTGCTGTGACAAAATTGTGGTGTGTAAAATTAAGATTTTTTTTTTTTTTTTTAAATTCAGATGAATGTATGTATTAGAATTTAATGCAATAACTTTTCTGAACAGTGAGGACCATGTATTAAAACTTTTGGACCTACACCACCAGTGATGTGTTTCTGTTTCTATTACATTGTCATCAGAAAGAGGATGTTGGTTTAAGGTTCAAGTCTGCTAATAAATTTCTGGTGGGGTCGAAGAGCTTCAGCTCAGTCGTTTGCGAGGGAGACGCAGGAGGCAGCTGGGTGATGAAAGCCAAGCGATGCCACTTCTGCTACGTTCCTGCGAGCTCAGTGTGTGGCTTAATGAGGTGAAGTTGGCAAGAAATGTTTCTCGACGTTGTATCTGATTCAAACTGAGGAGGGGTGCTGCTCTAGTCTAGTGGGACTTTGGGTGGATACCCTGTCTGCGGCAGGGCAGCGTAGCGCCGGAGGGTTTGGAACCTTCCAGAGGTGGTTTTGTCACCGGAGTCCGTTCGTACTTCGCGTGGAAGCTGGACGTGCAGTACAGTCCCTGTCCTCACTAGGTGGAGTCCTGTCCGCTGGAACCGCGCTGTGCCGCGGCCAGGCACGGGCTCTAGGGCTGTGCTGCCTCGCCGTGCGGCTTGGGACTGTTTGCAGCGCACTGGGGCATGAAAATGCTGCACCAGATGATCCAGATGTGAGGGTCAACTCTTTTTCCTTCCTTGGTAGTGTTTTTCTTCTGCATTTGCTGATTTTTGTGCTGTTAATTTCCCAATTCATCATGTTTTCTTTTCCTACTGTGTTTCTATACCATCAGCAGGCATCCCACAGAGGACCTCAGCTTTCTGCTTTTTCTAAAGGTGCGAACCAACCTGTGACTTCTGCCTCAGAGACGCTGCTGGACTGCAAGCCCCTGCAGAGATGCGAAAGCCGCTCGTCCCAGCTTCATCTGTCTCGTGTCAGGTGTTCAGCTGAACGACTTCTCAAAGTCAAGCTCGTGTGACCTCTTGTCATTTCACTTCCATATTGGACTGGAATTCCAGTGAGAGCTCGTGCTCATAACGCAGCTCTGCACTCTGGTGCAGTAATGCAGCAGGTTCCCACCACCAAACTTCATAACTTACTCTTTACACTCCCTGCATAACTCTTATGTATGGGTTAGGTTTTACTGAAGAATGTTAGTAGTTCGGCAGACTCTCGGTGTGTTTTCTCTGAAGAAAATCAAATCCAGACTGGAGCTTACCTGTCAAGGAGCTTCGTAAGCACAGCCCGTAGACACATCTTTTTCCTCAGAGGTTCCAGAGTTGTGAGATGCATTCCATCCCTACAAGCTCTGAAAGGCAGTGGAGAGAGAAACACCACACACCATGGAAAGGATGTTTCCCAGTCCTATGCAGTAGACTGGTTTTGTGACAATAGCTTTACGCCCTGTATAATTACAAGGGATGCTGACTGGAGTAACAGATCAGGATTTTGTTGAGCCACCTCAGACACAGAGTAATTACCTCTTTGAGTATTTAAGAAACTTTGCTGATGCAACTTCAGTGGCCTCAGCATGCCCTGTCGTACAGCTCTCAGCTTCAGGGTTACAGGCTGAGCTAGAGTCTCTGCTACAGGTGTGCTCTGTTGGGCACAGCGGAGAGAAAGCACTAGCGAGAGGCCTGGCCTGTGCTGAGCTCTGAGCAGTATTCCCCTTCCCAGAGGTTTATGTGACAGATCAAGACAGCTTTAAGGCAATTTTACATCACGCTTCTGTGATCCTGTGTGATTTGTCCTCTCTCCTTCCCCATGCAGACTCTTTTCAGTGGTGCCCAGCGACAGGACAAGGGGCAACGGGCACAAACTGAAGCAGAGGAAGTTTCACCTGAACACGAGGAAGAACTTCTTCCCTCTGAGGGTGACGGAGCCCTGGATCAGGCTGCCCAGGGAGGTTGGCGCTTCCCTTTTCGGGAGTTTTTCAAGCCCCGCCTGGACACGGTCCTGTGCAGCCTGCTCTGGGTGACCCTGCTTTGGCAGGGGGTTGGACTGGGTGACCCACAGAGGTCCCTGCCAACCCCGAACATTCGGTGATTCTATGATGCAGTAGCTGAATCACGGCTGCATTCCTTTCAACGGCCTGAGCATCCCACTTCTCACCCAGGCAGAAGATTATGTGGGAGGGTGGAGCGAACCTGCTCCCCACATTACTTGAAGAGAGCGGTGATGGCTCATGGTTACCGGTGGAGGTCCTGCAAGAGCTCTGCATTGCTGAGCATTGCCTCGGCGCAGGGAAAACGGGCACCCGCTGCGTACGCGAGCAGACACGATTGCGT